AAATTTAATCAAAACAATGAAAAAGAATCATATAACCTAATTCCACCAACAATCAATTGACGCTTTTGAAACGCCGTCATAGATATTTATACATTTTAAAAATCCAACCGTTGGGGCTGGGATATAGGGACGTTTAAAAAACGCTGCATAGCCTTTTCTTTTCTTTTTAATTGTGCTAAGCTTGGCATTTAAATATAGCGATAGATATTTATACCTGTCATAAACGATTATTAAGAACTAATAATTGATGTATATTAAATTAATAAATAAACTAAAGCTTGAAAGCAAAATTCATGTTCAAATTAAAAATAAAAAAAAAAATGCATTGCATACCCAAGAATAGAAACAATTCATGTTCAAATTTTAAATACATCAATTAAAATCAAAGTCGTCTTTGTTCGCTCCCACAACCTTATCCACTATCTTTCCTTCTTTTAGGATCACAAAAGTCGTATAGCCTCTACTTCCATTTCAATTCACCCCTAGCTCTGAGTTCTGCACAAGGTAGCACACTTGAGAATATAATTTTATAACAAAGGTTGAGTTATAAACTCAAAGTTCACGAGTTTAAGAAATGCGATAACGTCATTGATTGTATGAACTTATGAAAAATAAAAAAGAATAGAGCATCACCAGCTTTATATTGCGCGATATCACCAACAATAGGAGCTGAATTATGCTTGTATATCACAAGATCAAGTAACAAGCGAGCCCTATGCAAATAGTCAAACTACATGCCAAATGTAGTGAGTATGTAAAAACATCACACATTATAAAATTAGTCTTCATAAAACATAAGATACTGATAAGTGGACAGTTGGGTACGTATAAATGTAAGTACCTTGATTACACCCGAAGGCAAAGGTTTCCCTTGCATATATTTGATGACGAAAAGACCACAATCATAGCTATAGGAATGAGTGTAGTTGTAACAATAGAGTCAACGAACTTAGAGATTATAACATTAATGCTTATTTAAAAATTAAGAACGATAATGTAGTGTATTACTTGTTGTCTTGGCGTGGCATGTCTTCCAACCATTGAAATGCAAACGAACTAACATCTTGAACGTAATCTTCTCCATGCGCATATTGAAGCAGCTTATGCAATGATTGTACCTGTTGGTGGTAGGTAGTAAGGTACATAGATCAAGAAACAAAAAAGTGGATACAAGTGGGGTATCATAATGGTTATTCTATTACCAATAATGTAGCTTGATTTTTTCGATCCTCATCGGTGTCAATACATCTGCTGGAGTCGAATAGATAGGTAACCCGTTTTTCCATGTTTACATTCAAGCACAACCAGTGGTTTTCCCTATGGTTGAAGGGCATGTAAATCTAAAAATATAACGTCGAATGTACATGCAAAAAATAAATAAATACATAACATGGATCAAATGTTATTGTGCATGGTAAATTTGGAAATTGGGTAATAGTAGTATTTTATCATGTTACCTCATCACAAGCATGAAGGGGGCCAGTGTATCTGTAAATTCCAAAATAATCTTCTACTATATCTTTCATTGTGTCATCAGAAGGTTGACAAAAAATCTTTTGCTGCATATTCAATTTTAACATATAAATAACTTGTGCCTAAATAAAAAAAGTCTTTAGGTATGGCTAATACTTACCGATACATGGGTCGAAAAGTACCAAACCTTGTGATCCTTATTTGGAAACTTTTTCCTTTGTTTATTTGTCAATTTCACAACAATGAGATTTATAATCTGCAGTGCAAAATATATGAAATTTATGAATAGGCAAAGTAAAGTAACTTGGATGATGGAATGGTAGCAAATAAAATAGGAGAAGGAGAAAAGTCTTACACACGAGGATATCCACTGATATGGTTTCAAGGACCATAATTCCTTCCGCGTGGCAGATTATGCTTCCACGTAGTGCAGTTTCATCCGTACAAGATATTCCCTAGCACATGGATAACTATGTGAGTTAGAAGGTATAGTACTTCATACATAACAAGTTAAAGGTAGTCAAATTGTACCCTTCTGAAAAAGATTCATCAAATGCATATCGTAGAACGAGACTGTCATAGTCATTTAATGGCTCTGGCAAAGGCACGGATGACTTGTAAAGGTATTGAGAAGAATAGTGCATAAAACAAATCAAGCTTGGTTAGTGTATGTTCATGAAGATGGTTAGTGTATGTTAGCGCAAAATAACCACATATACAAAAGATACTATAATAGTTAGTTCCAAACCTTTGGGATTTCAGGAACAACATTACCCCCAAGTTGATCAAGTAAATTATCAAATAGCTGATACAAGTAAAAGAAAAGTAAGAAACAAACCCTATTTGTTACACATGTATCAAATATGTTTTGAGACACAATCATTTAGTTTACCTCATCGAGATTGTCATGAATATTATTGTCAACGTTGTTGTCAGTTGACGATGACTTCAACTGTGGTCTTTTCTTCTTTAAATCAAATTTCACAAAAGGTGTACGCAACCACTGACTGGCTTTGCAATTCTGGGTCCCTCGAGTTTGAGGACCACGAACAACACTACATGATGATGACATTGTTACAACATTCATTTCGACTGCCTTTGTATCGCTCTTTTTTGCGCGCAATCGCCCCTTTTGTGGAATAGAAAGTTGTTCATTATTTAATGCTTTCCCACCAACCAATTTGGCTCGTTTCTTTGCAACTGCCTTTGCATTTGGTGGTGTGAGGATTGGTTTTGTTTTTCTCAAATGCAAAGTTTCCAATGGTTTTTTGTCATTCATATTCCTTATCTCATCCTCATCTACAAACTTCGGGGAATTGGCTGCAACCTTTCGATACCACTATCATCGAGACCAACCATTTCAATGTCAATTCGATGCTCCTCATGTAGTTTGCTTGGTGGTGTTTTAACATGTCCACCATCAATTGGAATGCGTCGTTCTAACAACTCAAGAATTTGACCAACTTGGTTCTCCATTTTGACCAGTCGCTGCTCCGCAAGTAGTTTGCTTGGTGGTGTTTTAACTTGTTCTCCATCAACTGGCATGTGTTTTTCTAACAACTCAAGAATTTTTTCAACTTGATTCTCCACTTTGGTTAGACGTTTCTCATCTTTATCTTGCCTTGTGTCCTTGTGGCCTTGGACCAAAAGGGCATGAATTTCAATGACTTGTTTCTCAACTTTAGCCAATCGGGAGTCATCATTCTTGTCAATTCTTCCCTGGCTAAGAGTTACTGCATTGGACTTTTCACCAATGTTAGGCAAAGCCACCTATTCACAGATATACAATAACTTGTTAATGTCACAGGTGTAATGTAAATTGAGCAATAGTTATAAAAAGTCAGGTGTTGTAAATATTTACCTCAACATTTAAATATCCTCCCAAAGCTTTAATTTGATTCAAACCCTACTTAATTTCTGAATTGGCCCAATAGGATAAGCGAGGAATGGAGTTGGAAGTAGCCACCAACTCCCTTTTGCGAGCAAATTGTTCCAAGTAAAATAACTACATGGGAAAAAAAAATAAAAAAAAAGAAGTCATTTTAATGTGTGTTAGACAATATACAATAAAAAATAATAGATGAAATAATTACACATCAAGGGGAGGTACCATTAGAAGAAGCAAACAACCGCACATAGCAGACCGCTCTTTGACCTTGGCAACAGCAATGCGGTCGACAAGAAAATCAAGGGTGTGCTTTGCCCAATTGAATTGACTGATGGACTCAACATTTTTAACCATTTTAATGAATGATTGGTGTACGCCTGCCTTTGTGGTGGGGCACAAGAGGGCTCCAATGATGTATAAGACAAATTTCCTTTTAAATTCAGTTCCAGCATCTTTTGTTTCAAGCAGATAAGATTTCAAAGATGTGAGCGGAACAAATTTATTCTTCATCGCAATTTCATCACATAGGTTTGTAATTTCATCTACGGACTCTGTTAACTTCACAGGTAGACCATTGGAAGGTAATCCCATCAACTCATGAACATCTTCTACGGTGAGAAGCATTCGAAGACCGTGGACATTCAATGAATGAGTTGAAGGATCAAAGTTCTGAACTAACCAATGACACAAGTCATGATCTATGTGCATGCACCTAAGGCATAGGATGCCATGAAACCCCATATCACTCACTGCTTGTTGTTGTGCTTTGTCCAACCTTCTAATAATCTTACAAATTGATGTAAGCTCAATCCGAGTTTGAATTTTTACTTTTGGAGGCTTTTGTTGGACCACAGTTTTTAATTGGGCATATTGTTCAGATTGCAGCTTTCCCATTTGTATATACTTATTTTTTTCTTCTTCAGGAAGTTGATTCCATTTGTCCCCAATATCCTACATTACATGCATAAAATCATATGAACAATTACATACAAGCTTACAAGTACAAAAGGAATACTACAAACAACAAGAATACGTTGCACTTACCTTCACGTCTACTTTCATTTGGGTTTTTTTTAACTCCATTGATTGTTCTTGGCTATAAACATATGAAAATGAATATAAGAATTCGTATAATGGAAAATATATAACTACATACAAATAGATATTAACGAAATACCAAAAGAAAATGAATGGAGTGATCGGGCGCTTTGGAGGATCAGTCGGCTTATCCATTAGGCTTCAATCAGAATTCCTTGTAAAGAAAGACAAGAAAAATAAACTCATAATATCTTTGATTAGGAAAAAAAACAAACAAACAAAAATCTTAAAGGTTATAGTACATTCATCAAATGCACGACATGCACACATGAATGGATTTGTTTTATAATAATGTAGTTAACAAAGACTATGTTTCCAATGTAAAAAGGAAAGACACTAAAAAAAATTCTAATCATAAACAAAAAATGATACCCCAGTAGCTTAGGTCACATTACCATAAAAAATAGATTAAAGAAGTTAATTTTTTTGGACAAAATTTGTAATTTGGTAAGGAAATTTTTTTGTCGCAAAAAGGAGCCAAATATTTTGGCACCATACGAATTGATAATAAAAACGACATTGTTTTTTATTTTATTTTTGGGACTATAGTAGAAAAAAATAAAAAACGATGTCATGGTTATGTATAGCTCCTTTGCGGCTTCAAGTCTCACTTTAGGTATACAGTCAGAAGGTTGAATATCTTTATTAACTGGTTTTACTTGCTTTGGTTTTAGCTATGTTGTGGTTCACTTTCCCATATTTTATCTTGCTAATTTTTTTTTTATTCTCTGCATGGGTTTGGGGATGGCTTGAACCACATAAAGCACTTGAAAATTATAAATGTTTAGGAAAGCAATTTGTTGGGATTCTGATATTGTGCAGTTTGTTTGGATGGGTCTCCCCCGGCTTACCATCTTGATAAGGGGTTTGGAGCAGGAATTAACAATTGGTTGGTTCATTTTGAGGTTGGTCCTTCATTTACCATTTTGTTTTACAATACAAAAAATGATTTGTTTGTTGTTAAGAAGATGATTGAAAAGAAAAATAAGAATTGTGAAATCATATAAGATACCCAATTTTCTGCAGTTTTATTGGAAATTGAATTGAGAACTGATTTTGATTTTTTTGAAATGCCAATTTTCTAGTGTATTTAGGACATGAAAATGTAGTCTGATAAGGGGTGGGAAAGTTGAGAAGGGTTTGACGGTGACCTTCTATTGAAGCAAAAAAAAAAATAAATAAATAAATAAAGAAAGAAAGAAAGAAAGAAAGAAAGAAAGAAAGAAAGAAAGAAAGAAAGAAAGAAAGAAAGAAAGAAAGAAAGAAAGAAAGAAAGAAAGAAAGAAAGAAAGAAAGAAAGAAAGAAAGAAAGAAAGAAAGAAAGAAAGAAAGAAAGAAAGAAAGAAAGAAAGAAAGAAAGAAAGAAAGAAAGAAAGAAAGAAAGAAAGAAAGAAAGAAAGAAAGAAAGAAAGAAAGAAAGAAAGAAAGAAAGAAAGAAAGAAAGAAAGAAAGAAAGAAAGAAAGAAAGAAAGAAAGAAAGAAAGAAAGAAAGAAAGAAAGAAAGAAAGAAAGAAAGAAAGAAAGAAAGAAAGAAAGAAAGAAAGAAAGAAAGAAAGAAAGAAAGAAAGAAAGAAAGAAAGAAAGAAAGAAAGAAAGAAAGAAAGAAAGAAAGAAAGAAAGAAAGAAAGAAAGAAAGAAAGAAAGAAAGAAAGAAAGAAAGAAAGAAAGAAAGAAAGAAAGAAAGAAAGAAAGAAAGAAAGAAAGAAAGAAAGAAAGAAAGAAAGAAAGAAAGAAAGAAAGAAAGAAAGAAAGAAAGAAAGAAAGAAAGAAAGAAAGAAAGAAAGAAAGAAAGAAAGAAAGAAAGAAAGAAAGAAAGAAAGAAAGAAAGAAAGAAAGAAAGAAAGAAAGAAAGAAAGAAAGAAAGAAAGAAAGAAAGAAAGAAAGAAAGAAAGAAAGAAAGAAAGAAAGAAAGAAAGAAAGAAAGAAAGAAAGAAAGAAAGAAAGAAAGAAAGAAAGAAAGAAAGAAAGAAAGAAAGAAAGAAAGAAAGAAAGAAAGAAAGAAAGAAAGAAAGAAAGAAAGAAAGAAAGAAAGAAAGAAAGAAAGAAAGAAAGAAAGAAAGAAAGAAAGAAAGAAAGAAAGAAAGAAAGAAAGAAAGAAAGAAAGAAAGAAAGAAAGAAAGAAAGAAAAAGAAAAAGAAAGAAAGAAAGAAAGAAAAAGAAAAAGAAGCCAAGGATGGTTGCTAATCCTGCTAGGAAGAGTGGGAGTAACTAAGTTGGAAGTGGGAGGGGTTTATTGAAGGTCATTATCTTTTGTTGTGCTTTTTGTTGCTCTTTCGTCCCTTATGGTCACCTTGGAGGATTAAGCTATCTCTCTCTCTCTCTCTCTCTCTCTCTACTTGGGTGATAAAAAAAAAATTAGACCATGTAATGCCAAAGGGATGGCAATGAGGGGAAGTAATGACGGCAGCGGTGGTGGAGGTGGCAATGATGGGTTGACTAGGGATTTCTTACATCTTAGAACAATCTCTCCTAGGGGGTTTCCAAACATGGCTGGGCTTGATCATATGATAGTAGTTATGACTAATATGGTATTGGTTATAATATAAAATCATATAAGTTCATAACTAAATGTACCATAGCATCTATCTTTTTAACTATAAAGCAATCCCAAAATATTTTCCAACGTGTACTTTAAAGTTTACATTAGCAGAAAAAACAAATGAAATATAATAAACTAAAATATAAGAAGAGAGGGGTTTTGGTATCATAAAATGTAAAAGAAAATGGGTCATATTGCTCATACAAACGAGTTGTAACATGACTAATTTGAAAGGGGAAAAAAACATTATTTAATTGGGTGCCTAATTGTTAAAGAAAGCTACTTTAGAAGTTTCTTAAATTCTAATAATATAATCTAAACAAATCTACCCTTATGGCACCATGTTTCCGATCCCTTTCCACGTACAAGTAGATTAGTGGTTTGCTAATTTTTTTGACAGATTTTGCTGTTTGTTGTTGAAGTTTTAGTAGATTTTCTTGTTTGATCCTTTGTTGTTTTTTTTTATTGTTCTATACGATGTTAACATTTATTTTAATGTAATTGCTTTATAACTTTTCTCACTATATATATATATATATATATAAATTCAAGAGAACAAAATAAAAAAAAACTCATGTATAAATAAAATAGAAAAAATCAATCAACCCAAAGCCTCTTAATTCAGCCCCCAAAATTATAAATACAATCAATCGTGCAATTACTACTTTTTTTCATCTACTAGCAACTACATGATTGCATCATCACCAATCAATTCAAATCTCACATCTTTTACCTTCATGGCAATACCAATGAATGACCCACCTTGAGAAAGTGATCAGTCCAAAGACAGAACTGAAACCTCCTCAAACCACCTGTCAAGAGGGACTTGCTGCTAGCTTCTGCTAGGGCTTCAGTCCATTTCATTCCATTACATTTGGGCTGGAAAACTTTTGGTGCATCAGCTAATTTAATTATCTACTAGGCTTGTTAACTCACCCCTTCCTTTTCAGGAAATAAACGAGGGGACCGCTTTGAGCTACGTTGGGAGGTGGAGTCCTCCTTACACTCACTAGTTGTAATTGGTTATAATTGTAATAATGTGATGAAATTTTGTAATAATGGCATTGCAAAAGGGGAAGGAGAGGGTTGGGTTATTTGAGGGATAGAAGTCGCTGCGTTGCAAGAAGGGAAAAAATGGTGGGTCAACATTGGGAAGAAGGAAACAGGGTAATTGTAGTGGTACCGAGCGGAGATGGAAGTGGTGGTGGCGGATGGGTCAATAACCATGTTCCCCTTTCACCTATTCTCTTAATATAGCTCCCTCATTGCCTGTTTGCCCATCAAAAACCGCGCTTTTGCTTGTTAATGTTTTAGAATTACTTGTAAAAAATAGCTTCAGAATTAGGGAAATGGATTCAATCATGGATTATATACGGTCTAGAAGCCAACAACTTTAAAATGGATACAAAATGAGTTCAAACTGTGATATGTTTAGATTAATGTACAATATTGTTTGCAAAAGCAGACTTGGAAAAGTCGATCTATAAAGTATCCTCTGGTAGATGATAACTAGCAAATTGGCTGTAGTTTACTTTTTCGAAATAACAGAATTGTTCTTCAACTTTTCTATTGCTGATCATCATGACATTAATATGTGGTAGTCTAGATGTAGGACAGCTAATGATGGCAGTGAAACCGCAAGAACCAGGAGCAGGAAACAGAAAAGATCACGTAAGTAAGGCAAAAAGCTGTAAGTGACAAATGATTAACAGTTCTTGGCATGTCAAAAGAGCATTAATTAAATGGTGGTTTTCTTATTAGCTGATAGCTAAGTGAGTGCATTAAGTTTACAGACAAATTGCAGGATAAGCTGAGTCAATGGCAAGTTGGCTTTTTTTAGGTAGGGAACATTCCTACTTTTCCTAAATGCTGACTAGATTTTATTTTTCTTTTTGGTTTCCTCTGGGAAGTTTATAGTTTCGACAATTATATACCTTCATGGAAATGTTTAAAGATAGAATTGATGTCTCTTTGTTTATTGTGTCTGTGGTTAGTGTATTTCCCTTTCTGCTGAGTTGGTTTGAACACAAGAAAAAATAACTATTAAAGAAGAAGAGCTAGGGGAAGGAAATTACCTTTCTGTTCTGAATATATATTTCTAGAAAAATATTCAAGAACAAGAAATCAAGAATTCTGCAGCAAACATTAGAAATCAAGAACAGAGATGCTAAGAAAATTATTCAATAGTTGAATTCGGTAATACAGAGGTGCCAAGAAACATATGTATCGAAAACTCTGTTCGAACAGGCTATCATCTCAGGCAGTTCAGCTGGTGGTTTAACATCCATATCAGATATTCAATAAGGGTTAGGGTTTTCAAATCAAAAGCCCTAATGTAAATGAAGTTTAGAGTTAGAAACAAACCTGAGCTACAGAAAATATCTCTTGGAAATATTCGATTAGAATGGAAGAAACTCTAGTTCTTCACGTCATGACAGTGAGAGGTTATGAAGAAAGATGTCTACACCGAGAGAATGGTGGCCCCGACGACGACAGGGCTGGTGGTCTTCGGCAATGGCTGAAGCTTCGGCTATGGTGGAAGAGAGGAGGGAGGAGAAGAGAAGAGCAAGAGCACGAGCCAGAGAGAACGGGGTGATGCTATGGACTACTCTGACTGTTGGACTACTCTGATCTTAGAAACAAACCTGAGCTACAGAAAATATCTCTTGGAAATATTCGATTAGGATGGAAGAAACTCTAGTTCTTCACGTCATGACAGTGAGAGGTTATGAAGAAAGATGTCTACACCGAGAGAATGGTGGCCCCGACGCCGACAAAGCTGGTGGTCTTCGGCAATGGCTGAAGCTTCGGCTATGGTGGAAGAGAGGAGGGAGGAGAAGAGAAGAGCAAGAGCACGAGCCAGAGAGAACTGGGTGATGCTATGGACTACTCTGACTATTGGACTACTCTCATCTTGTGCTCTGTTTGGTAACCGGTTACACAGGTTGCCTGATTTGAGAGTCAAATTATTTAAATATCT